TTACTTAAATTATTAATAAAAAATTAATTTTATTTTTTAAAATATAAAAAATAACTACAAGTATTTATCATTTTGTTATGGAGAGAGTATAAGTTTAAGGTTCTTGATAAAAAAGAAAAATTAAAAAAAAGTGAAAGGGGAATCCGCTCCCCTTTCTCGTTTGTCCTCTCGAGTATCAATCTTTTCTTTGGTATAAATAATTGACAATTACCAAGTAAGTGCTCATCATTTCCTCTCTCCTCTTACTCTCCCATTCTCTTCGTACTTTTCCTCTCCAATATTTTTCTCTCTTTTACACCCAAAAAAAGTCAGCGCCGCCCTTTGCCCCTCAATCGTTCTACAGTTGCAGGAGAAAACCAGCGTTGTATTGGGTGTTTGACAGTTTCTAGGTTGATTGGATCGCTGCTGTCAAATGTCTGAGGATTGGGATTTGTTTGCGGTGGTGAGAAGTTGTTCCTCCGCCACTGCCACCGCCACCTCCACAACGGCAGCCGCAAAGGCTGAGAGTAATAAAGGAGAGCCGTTGGCTTGCTTGGCGTCTTTGACTGTTAAGGAAGAAGCTGACCCATTTTCGTTCCCGAATCTAGCACAGCCGAGCAACAATGGTTTTTTGCAAGATTCTTACCGGCCCTTTTTGTCGAATCCCAGCCCCACCACCACCGCCAACAATCCTAGCTCCGCCAATTTTGTTGGTGAATTTGGTGGCCGACATAATCAACCACCACCTCCTACCTCCACCGCCATTCGAATAAGCCCTCCATTGACCCCTACCTCGGATCCTGTATTCGTTTTTGGGCAAACTAGAAACCAACAAAAGCCGCAATATGAACAGCAGCAGAAACAACTAATCCAACGGCAGCAAATAGTGCAGCAGCCAGAGGTGCAGCAGAAACAACTAATCCGACGACAGCAAACAGTGCAGCCGTCGGAGGTGCAAACGCCTGCTGCCGCCACAGCTCTCCCCTTACGGCCCATGCATTCTCAAGCACCAAAATTTAGAAAGAGGTAATTAATTAAACTTTCTCTTTTAACTGTTTCTAAGAGAGGTTGAACTTTAATTGAAGCAAATCCAAGGCTAATTCAATTAAATTTATCCATTTCTTTTGCAGGAAAAACCATCAGAAGAGAACCGTTTGTCACGTAACGGTAGATAATCTGTCCGCAGACCCATGGGCGTGGCGGAAATATGGACAGAAACCCATTAAAGGCTCCTCGCATCCGAGGTTAGATTCAAGTCTTAGTAATATAGCTGAATACTAATTTCGATAACATAAAAATTGATTAATCTCTAGAACCTTCATCATTTTCCTTCTAATTTTCTCGAGAAAATTAATTTGGTTTTACAGAAACTACTATAGATGCAGTAGCTTGAAGGGGTGTTTGGCGAGGAAACAGGTGGAGCAGAGTAATTCGGATCCCAATATATTTATTATTACCTACACCGGAGAGCATACGCATCCTAAACCAACCCACCGGAACTCGCTGGCCGGTAGTACTCGGAATAAGCTTTCCACCGCCCAGAAATCATCCTCAGAGAAGACCCCTCCCTCCGAAACTGCCGTGGATGCTTCCTGTTTCTCACCTCTCTCTGCCCCCAGCGTCTCTCCGACGACTTCATTATCAACTCCTCAAGAGGGCGCCGGAGCAGTACAAGATGCTGGAGTTGAGAATGGAACCGGTGAGGGAAACGATATGGAGATGGTAAACGGAGAAAGCGACGACGATGATCTTCTGATCTCGAATATACAGATGGACGAAGATCTCCTAAAGGGGTTGAATGAAATCACCGGTGGTTCCGGTGAGGGTAGTAGCCCGCCTTTCGAGAGCAGGTTTTCCTGGGCGTCCGCCAGCTCCGGCACAACTGCTGGTGATGGCTGCTAGTTGTGGCCTGAAAAATCAGATTATTTTGTAGCTAAGTTTTTTTTGGTCAGTAGAGATTTCCGGAGTTGATAAGATTTTTCATCAACTTTCCTTTTTCATTTTACTATATCAAATTAGAAAGCTACCGAAAAAGTTAGAAGACATCTTTTCTTCTTCCCTTCCGACCAACCATACGGTATACTGTATGAAAAAAAATCCTATTCCTCCGTGTTAATTTAGTTGCGTGTTAATTTAGTTTTCTTACTTATTAAATTTAAGTATTTTAATTTAACTTTTTTACTTTTTATTTATATGAGATAGGATTATATATTATTATTTCAATTTTATTCTTATTAATTTAAGGGTGATGTTATAAAGATAACTTTTTTATCTCATTTTTTTTATATAATTTTCACATGTTATTAAATAAAAAAATAATATGTGCACACCTCGGTCAACACCTGAGTTTGCACACTCTCCATTAAAAAAAAAAAAAACCTATCACCATCTGATCCAATTTTTTTTTTTTTAATGTGGGGGTGCACATCCAGGTGTTGGACCCGGGTGTACACCAATTAAGGTCCTATTAAATAAGTTGATGTATTTAATATTATATGTTTCATATGAATTTAAAAAATTAATTATTTTAATAATACGTCATGTTGTATAAAAAGATGAGATAAAAATATTGTTTTAATAACATTTTCCTTAATTTAATTAGTTTTTGGATAAAGATGGTAAAGATTTTATTATGGATGAGTGTTGTCATTTTAACACTTACGGTAATTTTGAAGCTTTTGCCGATCTTGAATTGTTTAGGTGGACAATAATCGGTACACATTTAATTTAATATAGTATATAATATATTTATTAAAAAAATTATTATTTTTTATTCTAAAATTAAAAATATATAAATTTAAAAATATAATCATACACATAAAATGTATGAATTGATTGAATCAATTATATTTATATTATATTTTTACTAATTAAACAAAAAATATGTCAAAAATATATTGAACCGAATGCATACAAATAATTTTCCTTGTTTAGATTTATGTAGAGTTAAAATGTGAGATAAGTAAAATACAACAAAAGAAGTACAATTTTAATTAGATGTTCTGATTGAATTTTTTGACTCAAGCAGTGAATTAATATAAATTCACTCATTCGATGTGAAATATAGTTATGATAAGATTTTTATGCATAAGAAAAACATTATTAAATTAACTCTAATTAGTTACAATAATTGCTTAATTTTGGATATATCAGTATTTTATTTTTACCTGTCTGGAATTTATATATGGCTAATTATTCATGATTATCAAGCATGGATATAATCATGAAACCATTCAAATCTGTCTATATGATCCATGATATAATTTTGTTTAGAAATAAACATATTTTAAGTAAAAAAAATATTGTAATTAACTAATGACCAATATTAACTAAATCAATTCGAAACCAACTAACACTACTCTTGATTAATTTTACCATATGTATAACTATCAACTCAAGTGATTAA